ATTTTCTTACTAAGTCACAGTGCTTCACATTATTAGCCTATGTCTCAAAGTGTAATATATACTCAAGGTAAGGCTCATTGGTAATAAAATTAGATATAAATCCATATTTCATATGTCTTCTTGATCATTTCATTGAGAAGCAGAAGCCAACTTCTGGTAAGACTGAATTAAGTAAATCATCAACATTTTTAACCTCCCATTATGGCAAAGAATTCTAACTACAGTCAGAAAAGCTTCAATTCCACAATTTCCTGTTATTTGCTTATTCTTGTACTATTAGCACTATCTTCTTTACAGAAATCCTTTTAAGACACTTTTCTATTTTGTGACTGCTGGTTTGGTTAATACTGAATAATGGAATCCTTAATTCCTTAAGTGAACACATATAAAATCAGTAAGATACAACACAATGGAAATGGAAAAAAAAGAAGAGTAAGGATCACATGTTAGCCCCTCCATGTTGTGGGATCTCCCTGTATTTCCTCAAAATACCTCTGCTAGTGAGCACAGGAGACCAACTGACCTATCAGCAACTAAGGTAGCCAGTATCAATCTGTATATTATATATTTGCAAAAGCTTAGGGCTTTTTTTTTTTTAACTAAAAAAAAAAAAAAAAAAAGGAAGTTTAAGTTTACTGGCCACAGCCTATTTTGGAGGTAAAGGGTAGAAGCAGCTGTGGTAGGTAAGGAAAGCTATTATCGGAAATATCTGATGCTTTGCTTGAATATCAATGGGCCATGACTATGTTCTAGGCACACCATAACATAAGAGCCCTTCCCTGGACCAGTAGAAAGTTTTATGGAGTTTAGAGGATGTGCTCTCTTGAAACAGCATTTTTCACCATGGTGATCATGACCAGACCATCCTTACTCCTAAGAGCTTCAGTCATTCATGACCTCAGAAACAAATAAAGCTGTACAAGACTTTTGTTTATATTAAATACTTACTCTATTCTTGGTTCCAGATAAGATTAATCTTCAAGCCTCAATTATTCCAGAAGATCCTGCAAAGTTTGTTAATTGTCTGAAGGTCACACCATCACACCATTTCATGCATTAGTAATCTTGAAATGATTGGCTATAATGTATGAGTATAGATTGCATCAAAACTCTTTCTTTTACATTGTATGTAATTTATCTTAGTTGGCTAAGGCTGCCATAACAAAATACCATAGATGGGATGGCTTAAACAACAGACATTTGTTTCTCACAGTTCTAGAAGTTGGGGAGTCTAAGGTCAAGATGCCTGTGGGCTTGGTTCCTGGTGAGAACTCTCTTTATGGTTTGCAGTTGCCATCTCTGGGTGCTCAAATAGCTTTTCCTCTGTACTACAGTGAACTCTCCACTGTCTCTTCTTAAAAAGACACTAATCCTATCAGATCAGGGCCCTTCACTTAGGACCTCATTTAACCTTAATTACTTCCATAAAGACCCTATTTCCAAGCTTGGTCACATTGGAGATTAGAGCTTCAACATACTAATTTTGGGGAGACACATTCAGTCTGTAACATAATTTATATGCTTTAAAAAAAAAAAAAAGATTGTATCTATTTGAGAGAGAGAGAGAATGAGCCAGGGATAGGTGCAGAGGAAGAAGCAGACTTCCCACTGAGCAGGGAGCCCACGCGAGGCTCAGTCCTAGGACCATGAGATTATGACCTGAGCCAAAGGCAGACACTTAACCCACTGAACCACCCAGCTCCCCCAATTTATATGCTTTCTTTCCAAATATTTATTTTGTATCTTCTACATGCATGACAGTATAACCAAGTTGTTCTCATTCTAAAGGAGAGAAAACAAACAATAAATGTGTGCATGTATATGTGTGCAAATTATATTATAAGGAAAACTCAAGTAGAATAAAGAGAGAGTGAGAGGGTTGCAAGAGGAGACTATTTTAGAGGAGGTGGTCAGGGATTACCTCTCTTGATAGGAGCATGAGGGAGCAAATATCTGTTACTGAGGAGTATGCCTCAGTAGAATATTGAGAGGAAGAGTCCAGGCTCAAAGACCAAAAGGCAGGACCCTGAGCAATGAGAGAACAGCAGAAAGACTAGAGAGGATGGCAGGGTTGGGGAGGGGACAGTGACAAAGATGGAGGTAAAGAGAGATGGGGTGTCAGATATGTAAGGTTTTGGTGGTTAACTAGAGTCAAGTTTGTGTTGTCAAAATGGGAAGTGATTGAGAGTGATGGGAAGAGGGGCAGCTGGCTGGCTCAGCTGGCTTAGCATCGGCCTTCAGCTCAGGTCATGATCCCAGTGTCCTGGGATGGAGCCCCCCATCCATCAGTCTGTCTGTCCATCAGTCACTCAGGCTCCCTGCTCAGCAGGGAGTCTGCTTTTCCCTCTTCCTCTTCCACTCCCCAGGCTCACAGGTGCATGCAAATGCATTCGCGCGCACTCTCTCTCTCTAAGTAAGTAAATAAAATCCTAAAAAAAAAAAAAGGGATGGGAAGCCGTTGGGTGGTTTTTGAGCAGAGGATTGATCTGAGCTAATATATACGCTTTTTGTTTTGTTTTTTAATTTATTTATTTCTTTATTAATTATTTTTATTAACATGTAATGTATTATTTGCCCCAGGGGTAGAGGTCTGTGAATCGTCAGGCTTATACACTTCACAGCACTCAGCACATACACTTTTAAAGTGTCACCTTAAATTCTCCATGCGTAATAGACCATAGGCATAAGATTGAGAGCAGGAAGACAAGTACAGAGCCTTCTGCAGAAATCCAAATAGGCAATGCTGCTTTGGGAGAGTAGTAGTTAGGGTCAGATTTGGAAAACATTTTGAAGCTGGAGCTAATCAGGGTTTCCTGATGGACTGAATATGCGACATGAAAGAAAGGATAGCCAAAAACAAAACAAACAAACAAACAAACTAAACTAAAACAAAAAAACTTTGCAGCACTGAAATAACTCTAGAGTTCAAAACAAAATAGGAATGTAAAAGTCAGACCACTTGGAAGGTCTCCTCTCCTAGCGCTCCATACTTCCACACACTTTTCACAGGCACAATTAATTATGTTTGCACTTGCCTGTTTAGTGACTGTCTCTCCACCCACAGAATGTGAACTCCTAGATGGGAGAACTTGTATCTGTCTGTCTAGTCCACCCTTATATCACCTGCACCAAGCTCAACGCCAGGCAGTTTTCCAGTCCTCATTAAACACTTTAAAGAATGAATGAATACCAAAGTTTTGAGCAATCTTTAAATTACAGCTTATTGGGAGCAATTGGAAAAAAGAGGGAAACTAAAAGGCAATATATTCATTAGATGGCAGGTAGGACTAGAGAGATTCTCTTTTCTAGCTTACCTTTCTCTATCATTTAACATCTAAGACAAAACCAATTTTATCTCACCAGAAAGATGTTGTGTCTCCTATCAGCTGGTGGTGACCACATTCTTCTGTAAAGGGAGTTTTACCATGATCCACCATCATAACTGATGTTGATGATCCAACAACATATTATACATTTAATCTGCTTAATAATTCTTAGAAAAGTATTATTTCTGCTAAAAATAATAGATACTACTAGCGTTCCATAACTCAAATTCAAGCAAAATGGCAAAACTGAAGAGTGAGATCTACAGATAATTTCCGGATCTTATTTTCAATGATTGCAGACTGTCTCTCCCATAAACTTTTATACCAGCTGTTAAAAGCTCTTCAAATTGTTTTTGTTGCATCTCATTTTCACCCCTCCTCCATATAGCCAGGGAAATAAAAAAGGCGACTGAAGACCGGGAAAGTTCTGGAGATTTGGAAGTGCAAGATAGTGACCTATGTACTCCTGGTCACTGAAAGGTCTGAATTAACCAGATGAGACCATGCTTGGAGCTTGGGGCAGAGCTAGCATATAATGAATGTACTGGTTTCCAGCATTAAATTTTTATTAAAAAATTAAGTTCCTTTAACCCTTCCACTGAAATGTCACTTGGCTGGGGCTCTGAAGGGCAAACGTGCAAACGGCTGCAGTAATGATAGGGAGTCTCTGTGTAAACTACCCAACACGACACCGAGTGATGTGTGGTTTGTGATGTCAGCAGAAACCGCAGATAGAATCGCTTGGGTTTCTATCTCTTGGCTAGAGAACATCCCTACAAGAAAAGGCTGACCCTTGACTCCGCCAGAAACTTTCCCCAGACTTGGCCTCCACTAGTAGAAGGAGTCGCCCCCCTCCTGGCACCCCACGGGAATCCCAGAGGTGGGTCGTGGGGACGGCGACATTGGGGTGCGGTCCCTCCCGCCATGAGTAGACAAGGGCGGGGTCACAGGCACTAGGACTGACCCGGGCTTGGGAACCCCCAGTGTGGGGGGTGGAGCTGCCGCCGCGGGGTGCCAGCTCCGGGGAAGGGGGGCGGGGATCTGAGCGGCCCAGGGCCCCGCCCGAAGGTCTCGGAGCAGGCCGCGAGGTGGGGAGGGCCCGGCAGCCCCCGCCCCGCAGAGAGGCGGCGGCCGGTCGCAGCGCGGTGGCCCAACGGGGAGGTTCCTGGCGGACTGGGGGCCCCCCGAGGTGAGAGAGGGTGGGGTCGGGCGGCTTTACAAAGCCGGAGCGCTCGCCCAGCCAACAGCAGGACCGCCAGACCGTTGCCGCCGCGCCTCCAGCGTCTGCAGGTAGTCAGCGCAAGCGGGGCGGGGCCGCGTCTGGGGGCATGGGGGACGCGCCAGGGTGGGAGGTGTTACTCAGAGGGTCCCTCCGTGCGCGCTCTCGCGGTACCCGCGCACCCAGGGGACGCGAGGGCTTGAAGCACCCCTTTGCACCCCTGGAAGAGGGGTGACCTGGTTACCTTACGCTGACCTGACAGCTGCCCAGCGGCACTGAGAACGCACGGGGCCTCACAGGGTGTTAGCTTCCAATATACTTTGGGTGTTCTCTGCACCCTCCAACCCAACTGGCCTCCAACACACACACACACACACACACACACACACACACCACGGAGGGGGAGGCCTGAGGGATTAGAGGGATAGAGACACTGTCACTCAGAAGAGATTAGAATCTGGGCAGGACTACGTGTCCATGCTGGAATCTTCAGAAAGTAGGTGCAGCATCTGCAGCTCCTCATTTCCAGCCCCCAGGTGATGCGTGATTGATTTTTCTTGGTTTGGTAGCTTTGAAAGCCCTAGGCTGTAAAAGGTTTGGGTCAACAATGAGACTTTAATCCATACAGGCTTTCTTTGCCCTGCTCTTCAACACCTTCTCATATCTGGAGGAGGGGTACATTGGAGGGTCCTAAAAACTTTGCAGGGAATGTTCAAAGTTGCTAAGTGTTTTTCAATTTGTGACTTTTTTGAAAAAGAAAATTTCAAACTTTCTTAGTTTGGGTTAGGTTTTATTTCTTTAACATACTTGCATTCATTGGGAAAGAACTGGTGCTGTCATTAGAGAGTGAGTCCAGTAAGTATGGCATCATTAGAACTGAAAATCAAGTTAACTGTATAGTTTTAGAAAAATTGCTTCCTAATGTGTCTGTTTATGTGCTTTGTTACTGGGATGTGTCTCGCTGGGAATGCTGTCAATATCACCTTGGTGTCTTCTGAGGTTTCCCCTGATGTTGGCCACCTGACCTGGGACAGAGCCCAGTATGCCCCTTTCTTCTTGTGTTTCAGGTGGACACCAACCTGCTTGCAGGCCTCTAGCCCTGGTGTCTGGTGAGAGGGAAAAAGTATAAAAAATGTGCTCTTGGCAAGTTTGGGAGCAAGGAGGAATGCAGTAGATTTTTTCCCCCATTAAAGTTTTCACGTATTGGCAATTTAAAACCCAAAGTATTGTTTACCACCTGTCAGACTCACTCATAAGTGTAAGGATTAACTAATAAAAGATTTGTAAAATGCTTCCTGAATATAAAATTCCATAAATATGCAAAATAGTAATAATCCACCCATTGTTAAATTTATGTAGCCGCTTCTGCCATGCATACAAGATGATTTAGAATGCATGTTTCCTGTCAATTAAACAATGAGTTTAGAGTAAAATAATGAGTTCAATTCACATCCTGTGAAACTTTGAAATAAAATTTCTCCCATAAGGCGCCATCGGCAGAGAATCATAAAGTAAGCAGCATTTCAAAAAGTTATATATGGAATGGCACTTACCTTATGGCTGGGGGAAAAGGGACCCAGTAGTTGAACTTCCGAAACTAAGAAATATTCAGCCTGAACCATAAATATTCCCTCACGTTTTGGGTATGTCTAAGGGGAGAGCAAACAGCTTTTGTGGGATGGCCTTAGAGCTAGCTGTCCGCTTTAATCCGTGAAATATGCCTCTCAGTATTTTAAGGCTGAAGTTCAATCTGTGGTTTTGTTCACAATGAAGAAAATCTTCACCATTACTTAGATAAATTATTCATTCTTCTAATCCCATGGGCTTGGTTTTTAAGTATCCTTAATACCGGCAATCATTTTAATATCCTGCAGATAATTAAATTAATTTGTTCCCAGTGGATTGAGTGACATGTTAACATCACATTTTCTCTTTACGTGTATTTAATAATAGTGTCTCATTTTTCTGCTTACTGGTTTCCTAGAGTAAAACCTGTTTCTTATATGCTAATTGTACAAATATTACTAAGGATGGTCTTTTCTGTTTTATGAAGACAACTGTAGTTTTCCCACTAGCAGATTAAGCTGTGAGCAGAACCACAAATTTGGAGATGTTTTTCTTGACATCTTCCCACCTTCAGTGGCCTTTTCTCATTTCCTCCACTCAGCCCTCAGATGAGTAGCTGCTGAACGGGCCCCAGCCCGGTATTCCAGAACTTCCCCACTGCTAGCACTCTTCCTTTATCCAAATCACTTAACCTCTGCCCTACTTATTTTCCAACCGTTTGGTTTGGGTGAAAGTGCACTCGGTGAAAAATCAAAGGAGTTTTCATTTACTGAGCACGGTGCCTACGATGTACCAGGCAATCAAGCCACATTAGCTCATTCAATCCCTGTAACAATCTGATGCAGTCGATGTCCTCTGTGTTTCACACAAAAGAAAACTGAATCTCAAAAAAGCTCTGGTACCCAAGGACGAGCAATTGATGAGTCAAAGAGCGAGGATTTGAACCAAAGCATTGTGGTGCTTCCTGCTGCATTGTGATCCTGATCCCTCAGAAGGGCTCACATTCCGGACTGAGGCATGGCAGAGTTCTCCCATTGACTGACTGGCCATTTGACCTCATATCAGTCCCTTCAGCCCTTTGGGCTTCTGATTTCCTTTCTCTAGTTTTGAATTAAATTCCCTCTCAGAGATGGAAGAGACCTTTGGAGGCCAAGCACATAAACAGCTCCTCCCACAGGATTCCAGAATATGCTGTTCGCTGCCCGGGCCTTTCCTCCAACCCCCTCCCTGGTCTCTTTTTCCTTCCTGCTGGTCCAAGTAAATATCGCCCCCTCCAAGAGGCTCTTCCCTTCTGCTATTTTCTATCTCAGGCCCAGTGATCCCTTTAAAACACTGATTACAAACCGCACTTATTTTACTTACACGTCTGTTTACATGTGGCTATTGTTTTTATCTTCTCCATCATTCCCCCATCAGACTGTAAGCCGCATGAGCCCGGAGCTCTTTCTGCCTGACTTTTTTCATTACTGTCTTCCCAGGGTCTAGCACAGTGACACACAGCACATAGCTGTGATCAGTAAGTATGTTTGAATGATTATGAATTATATGATTATAATTATATAATGAAAAATTATCTCCTACAAAGGACATGTGCTAATGGCCGATATACTGTCCCATCCCTGGGAAAACCCAAATGAAGCATCATCGATCTTACACTGTTACCGTGAGCCTGAGTTATGAATGGGGATCCAAGTACAGTAATGGAGAAAACACGGCTACCACGGGACTCCCTGGACAAGCAGACACACTCCATATAGTCCAAGACCCATATTTTACAACAGAGAAAACTGAACCACAGAATGATAACAGGAACTTAGGTTCAGAAGACACACTAGAGGGGCGCCTGGGTGGCTCAGTTGGTTAAGCCGTTGCCTTCGGCTCGGGTCGTGATCCCAGAGTCCTGGAATTGTGTCCCACATCAGGCTCCTTGCTCCACAGGGAACCTGCTTCTCTCTCCGCCTCTGCCTGCTTGTGCACACTTGCACACGCTCTCTCGCTCTCTCTCTCTCTCTTTGACAAATAAATAAATAAATAAATAAAATCTTCAAAAAAAAAAAAAAAGAAGAAGAAGAAGATGACACACCGGAGACCAACTATGGTCCAAGCTATTATTTTATGGATGAAGACACAGAACATAAAATAGAGAACCTGTGCATCCTGACTTCCAGACCAGCACACGCCTCACCAAGCAGTCAAAAATCCCAGGGACTACCCAGTCAACAGCGGCAGGGAGTGTTAGGAAATGACACTTTTTTTTTTCCCCAGAAATCCCAAAGAGCCTTAGGTTTCCCAGACCAATCCTGGATAGCAACATTAATACACAGTAGAACACTTTACTTCAGATAATCTTATTTTTTAAATTTTGTATGGCCTGTATAAATTTCAGTGACTCATTTACTATTTTAATGATCTATCAGGCAGCCTTTTAATACCTATCGTTAGTTTACCAGTTCTGTTTAAATGCTAAGGAGCTCCAAATGGTAAATCTACAGGGCTGAGCATTTACCACTAGAATGATAGATTCAAGATACATTTAAAAGATGATTGATATTTTGAACTCCAAATGATGATGGCTTGTTTTTAAGGACTAAAATAACTTTTCTTCTCTAACTTAAAGAGCAATCCTTGCTAGAGTATTACATCCCATAAAAAAAGCAGTCCTTAAACTTTAGAGGGCATGAAAATCATCTGGAAGGCTTTTAAAAACCCAGATTGCTTAGAGCCTTTCTGCACATTTCTGAATTAATAGGTCTGAGATTCGTCCCAGACAACTGCATTTTTAACACCTTTGGTGATTTTCTCAATCAAATAGTCTGAAGACCTCACTTTGAGATTCAATAATACTCTTAGTATGTTTTGAAACTTTCCTGGTTCCTTATAAGAGGATTTTTTTAAACAAACATAATTGGGGGAAAGTTCGATGTGTTTGAAGCTAGCAAATAGTGTACTAGGTATGATGGGAATCTGTTTCCTTGTAGCAAAAGCCGTATATATATAATCATGATATAGCTATTGGGTTTGATATTGCCCCCAAATCAAGAATGTTCCAAAATGTTTCTGTTGGACCACAAAAGTAAATCAGTAATTAGCAATAAATTTAAGTGTTAGGTTCTGTGAAGCAATAATGAAGCCCCTTGCCCTCCAGATGATTACACTCAGTATAGCAGAGAGAAAAGATTAATATCCACAAAACATTCAAGGAAAGGGCTACAGATCAAGTACACGATGCCTGGTTAAATTTGAATTTCAAATACACAACAAATCATGTTTTAGTATAGGCATGTCCCATATAATATTTTTATTTGCTAAATCTGGCAACCATGCTCAGTGAACATTAGCATTTAATGTCATTAGTTTCCAGAACTTGGGGCTGGGTTGCGGGCCGGGTGGGAGAGGGGATGGTAATGCTGAGTGGTTGTTAAGCTTTGAGAAACTGATAAAAGTTCTGAACATGCTCCTCAGAAAAGTGCCCAATAGCACTTTTTAACACAACTCTCATAGTATTTCATAGATCCAGGCTGCCAAAGCTCTTGGGGACATCAGGATCATTTGCAACGTAGACAGTAGAGGCCAACTCTTCAAACTATTTCCTCTGGGCTGGTGGGTCTAGAAGGTATCTTGCAAAAGTAGAATGTGAACTTGGCCTTTTTTTTTTTCTTAGATTTTATTTATAAATTAACTTGACACAGAGAGAGAGAGTACAAGCAGGGGGAGCAGCAGATAAGAGTAAGAAACAAACTCTCCGGTGAGCAAGGAGCCCGATGTGAGGCTCGATCCCAGGACCCCCGGGGATCATGACCTGAACTGAAGGCAGGTGCTTAACCTACTGAGCCACTCAAGCGCCCCTGGACTTGGCCTGTAAGAGCAGGAGAATTTAGCTGGATTGTGGGTTTAGGAGACTTCTTAAGGCTTTGACAGAAGGCAGATTCCCTTAGGCCTTGAGGATATTTAGTAAGGAATATTGAGAAAT